CCGACGGGAGCTTCGTACGTTCCCGACGCTTTCCGACGGCGGTCGGCTCGCAGCGCCGTATTCCACGGCGCCTCGGTGGTCTCGGGTCGGTCTTTCCCAAAGGGATTCCATCGCTCTTCAGCTTCTCGGTACTGCGTGTGGGTGGCTGGATGACGTTATGTGCGATGGCGTGATGCATAGCTTCGAGATGATGTCATGCCGAGTGCGTTCTGTCGTGCCTAAGCGGGTTCGCTTCGCAAATATTCTTATTTTATTCGGCTCACCTACTAATTCCTTCGTCATGTATGGTTTTCACTAACTACTTGCTTTACCAGTATTGACAATATATTGAGTTTTATTCTTAACCGTTTTTGACGATTGAATGAGTAAGGCTTCCCGTTAGAACAATTTAACTTATGTACTATCTCTCAGTTTAGCGCAAATCGGCCTCGGGTTAAAGTGATATCATGGTATTATAGCGGCGTGAAAATTTAAAGATTTTAGGGGCTGGGACGTTACACAAGACAAACGCTCAAATTGCAAAATTCGTTCGGCCAAAAAGGAATAGCGCACGTTGCGGATCTGTCGGATTTAGTCACAGATCGAGGCGAGCCGGTCGACGTAATCTCATCGATGTACAGTTTCGTCGGTCGAGCTGCATGCGGTCAGTTGCGGGAGCAGCAGGCCGACGTCATGCGTGCAGTTTATTCCCGTTCATCTGGAGCACGTCTCGGGTCGGCCGGTTATGGCTATTTTTTCGTCAGCAGTGATTCCGCTCACAGCCACTTTATATATCACACCAGACACGGCGGTTCTAATCCCATGAGAATGTGTCGTTTGACGTACGAGGCTCTACTGGAAAACTGTGCGTCGAGCACTACGTACATCAAAGGCAGTGACTTTGAATCCGGTGTGAGTAATCCGTACTCGGGTCTGCCGCGTTCAGTAGAGAACGCTTTACGCTGTTACGGAGTGCATCGGCGATCGATGCTCTTGGATTCACAGCGCACGCACGCGTTGAGACGGCGTGTGTACGATATCGCGCTGTTGCGTTCTATAGCGGCACAAGTGAAAGAGGACGAGGGAGAACTCGCGGCGCGACCAGCTAAACGTCCACGCCGTACCACGCCGCACTAATGAGACGACGGCGGCACCAACTGGGCGGCGGCGACCAAACTCACATTTCGACCAGTTACAAATTGACGCATATTCATGTCGGCCGGTCTCCACAGACAGTACGAATACTGCGTCGACTCGTGGTTTAGGTCGAACAACAAGCATCCCGTTGGATTGTCGTGATGCGCATTGAGTTCAGGCCGAGTATAGCTACCGCTACCTTCGCTGGCATTGTGCATAATCAGGCATACCGGCAACATAGCGCGCGCTAGTTCCTCGGCTCGGGCACTGTCTATCTCGCGCGACGACGTTTTAGGTATTTCGTCCAGTCCTCGAAGGTCCGGGCAATTGTACGTGGTTTGGAAATTCTACGTGGGACTAACTCGATCGGCATTCTCGACGTAGAACGATTTTGGCCAGACATTCATATAGTATGGAAAGTCGAATCAGGTCTTGACGTTACCGCTACGTACATCGACTTGCCCGTAATAACACAGATCGGTGCGCCACATAGTCGGCCGTGTGATTATTTGGTGCAATCGTTCGCTAAACTTCTCGCGGTGAGCACTCAATTCTTCACCGTTGTATGTCCATAGGATACCTACTTTCTCCAATGCTTCGCTATTCCGAGGCATTACGAGCAATCGGAAAAATTTGTCGTAATTCGCCTCGGCACCTTCCCAATCGATCGAATCGACCATATCTCCGTTTGCTACTATAAAACCCCATTCTTGAGCGTACCATTTACCGTCGTTCCATTTTTGCGACATATACTGAATGAGCGCGCGGGTCGAATCGACGGACACTATCAAACAAGAATTCGGGAATCTACCACCATTACCATTCAGATAGTCCCGATCGCTTCGAACGCCGAGCAACACTTGATGCAAAACCGTCCGGTCGCGTTCGTCCGTTCTGGTCTTGAGTTTATCGCCGCAAAAGTAGACGCCACTACCGTCAAACTTGATCAGGTCGCACGGTGCGCACGGATTGGGCAACCAGACATCCAATTCCCGATCGTCCACCCGCGAGAATTCCAAAGAAGACCTAAATACATTTGTACGCGTCATCGTACAAATTGAGATCGTGGGAATACTGCCGATTGCCGTAAAATGCACTCGGCCGCTCGGCAAATGTTGCCTCGCGGCAGTACGGCCCTATGCCCACGGACGCATCGTATTCAGCGATCCAGCCGTCGTCGTGACACACACACTGACCATTTACGAAAGGATCGCTGCGCGATTCATGCGCCGTGTCGTCCAGTTGACCGTGACCATTGCAAGCAACGTCGCGACTACACGCCGATAAAGGACCTGCCACGTTCGTCATCAGATGAGGATATTTGCACCGGCACGCGAAGTTGAAAGTACTATCGGCAACTGCGTCCTTGCGCCTGCGCACGAGTAACCAATCCGCATTGAACGCACTGCATTGACGCCGTGCTCGTTCAAGCTCACCGTTAACATCGTCGTCGTCGTCGTGGTTCATTGATCTGAGATTGTTGCCGACCTGTTCGCGTAGACAGTAGCCCTCCGCAGAATGCTCGTTGGCAGGGATCACGAAGTCGCGATTCGTGCGTTCGTCATGTATCGTGAGAGGTGTGCTCAAATGCACGCAAACCCGTAGTGAATGGCGCGCTTCTATACATGCAAAACATGAAGCATAGCCCTCGTCTACATTGCACGCGGGAGGTACCTTCTCGAAGTTGTCGCATTCTCGAGAATCGGCAGACCGTTCGGGAATCGAGATGCCCCGTCTGGAGAATTCGAGCAATCGCCGTCCTTCGAAAACGTCAGTGTCGACCGATCGAGGAGGTGGCCGTCGCCGTTGCTCTCCGTTGTCATTGATGATAGTACCGCGATATGTCTCTTTCACCGCGTTTCCAAAGCGACGCAAAGAGAAAATCGCTAGTCCGATTAGAATAACGGATATGAAGATCGTCGCGATGATCGATAATGAACAAATCATGACGATGACCGTCGAGCCGCCATCACTTTGTTGTCGTAAGATGTCCGGGGACAAAAAATTGCGAGCTATTGGCAGTTTAGCGTCGGCTGCGTAATCTCGCGCTACGACGAGACAACAACGACGACAGCCAGTCTCTTCTTATTCGTTATTTAGACGTGCTCTCGTGCGATCATTAGAACTAGAAATATCTGCCTCTGGCGGTAACGGCGGCGGTAAGAGTGCTGCGATCAAGCCGCATGGCAATGACGAAATCATTCGTTCGTTAGCTCAGGTACTCATCACTGGAGCCAGAACGACACTTGCCAGCGAGAAATTGGCAGCACCATCCTCGTCGTCGGCAATTGATTTTGACTCGTGTGAGCAAGTGCAGACCAGAATATCGCCGATCTTGTGGTACCGGCCGACGGCCCAAAGAATACGTGACGCTTGCAGCGTCAGTTGGCTATGCGACGATGCGCTCTGTTATCCCGAACAACGAGACGGTGAAGAAGTCAACACCAACACTATCGCTCTGCCAACAATGGGGGCGCTTATCGGCGAAACGCTGGTGCGCGACGTACGACTCGCCGAGGTGAGATCTCTTTAGGTGACCTCCTCGACTGAATCACCGCAGTCGCTGCACCTACAACAGCCTTCATTGCTGTCACGAGTGTCATGCGATTATGACGCAGTTGCGTGCATGGCATTAACGAAATTTCAACGCTACGTTGTAGCATTTCGAGCGGATTTTGAGCTAGGAATGAACAAGTATTTGGACAAATTACTCGTCCTAGAACGAGAATATCAACGCAGTTTGATGGTTGAACGTCAACGCCTGAATGACTTTCGCAATGCCGTATCAGTCGAACTGGATGCGCTCAAAGATTCCATAGCCATAGAAGAGTCACTCACGAACGAGGTGAACGAATTGCAGTTATTGCTTGCGAATGCAGAGGCCGAGTTACAAAATCGTACGACTGTGATATTGCACGAATTGCACGATAAACTGTCACGCATGTTAGATGAGGAAATTCATCCGGAATTTGTTTCAATGCCGAAGCGGAACGTCTGTCGAATGCCAGAGACGAGATTTTCGCGAATGCTGAGGAAAGAGCAGCGCCTGCTTGTCGAATCTTGCGTCAGTTGAATTCGCTTGATGCAAAGTCGTCGAACGTGTGCGATAGCGTCATGGCTCTGGCAAATTATGAGAAACTTATGCAGATATCGGCCTTTTGTGAAGAAAATGAAAAACGCATTCTTGCCTCGAGCCAATTAATAAACATCGGGGAAATCGTAAAAGATTGCGAGCCATTGAAGATGCTCAATGTGGCCGCCTTCGAGGAAGCTCAACGGAATTTGCGCGTACAAGAGGAACGGCAAGAACGCTTGGAAACAGTCGCTCGAATTCGCCGCCAGGACGATCTGGCGCATAACGACCCGTTCGTGAATTACGGCATACGCATGTACGATTATTTGCGTTGGTTAGGCTGTTGGAACAGTCTTATGACCAATTGGTCTCTGGATTACACTGAGAAGTCAGTTCGCGATACGTCCGACGGTACTTTCGCACTACGGTCATATGGTACCGGTAGCGCCGGAGGCGACGCAGACGATAGTTTTTTCCCACAACGGCTGATTAACGCAGTATTCCGCCGACTTGATGACGTTCCTTCCAGAGTAGCCGCAGCAATACACGCCATAATACCGGATCTGTTATCAGCAGAACGATGCAAGAGCAAAGTACCGTTGGACAAACGAACCTATGCGGAATTAACGTCGGACGATCGCTTCATCGCTCTGTTACGACAGCCCGTCTTCAGATGGCCCACGAATCTATCACATGCGGAAAAACGCGGTCTTGTATTCGCTACACTTTTAGCATTGTGTCCCGTAGATTTATTGGTCAAGGTAGTGGATGACGGAGGAGAATAAAGAAGAAATACATGGAAGATGTTTTTTTATTGCACCTTTCCCTTTACAACAAACGAACAGTTCGGGTACCAAGACGCGTGTTCTGTCCACGGACATGCTGCATCCTGCCAATTGTAAAAAATACCGCCGCACGCAAAACACTGAACGGCATCATCTCCGGCAGCATCGTCAATCGGCGGCACCATCATTATCAAGCGACGCCGACCTATCGGATGATACATGTATTTCATACGAGAGCGCAGGCCGTCGATACCGATAGAGACGAAGCCACACTGCGCCATGTGTACGGCCGGCAAGTTATCTTCCAGTGGCCAGCGCAGACGGCGAAAGGATTCAACGCGACTACTCTCAAGCTCGTACGTTCGACGCCAATCGTAGGGCATTGGCGTATTTTGCGATGCTTTACGCCGCCGCAAGTCCACCAGTTCTATAGGAAGTAGTACATTGACTTCATTCGCACGCATGAATGTGCCGTACAAGATGTTATATCTTTGCGTATCGCTGAGTCGCAAGAGACTCCTGTACAATGAACTGGCGAATGGACAGTTCGGCGCGAGACGACAATGTTCACGTAACGGTGCCTGAGTGAGCAAAGTATCGTTGCGTAAAATAAATCCGCAAACGAAGCAGCAAATGTCGGTGGTGGCGGCGTTCTCCTCGTCGCGGCGACGACAAAAGAAGCCTTGCAGGGCCAACCATTTGGCGGTGATGCCGCTACTCCTTTCTGTAAAACTTTGAAATCGTTGATCCACTTGGATCATGTCGTGATGTTGCACAGTGTACTCTTCCGTCACGCTGCTCATTAACTTCGGTAACCTACGGACTTTAGGCACCGTTACGCGATAACACAATTTCGTTTCATATGCCTTTCTCACGTGACTGTCGAAGGAATGCTTACACGTTGTCGTCCGGCAATAATTGCGAACGGCGTATCTGTTCAAATCGTAAATCCTCAGACGTATCACCAGCGTGGACATCATCAGAATATGGTCGCTCATGGTCATCGTCGTCGTCGTCGTCATGGCTGCTATGTGTTCTCTCAAGCCTCGTTCTTCTTCCGTTCGCTATTTTCATCGTACACTAAATTTGCCAGAGAGGAAAACATCTTAGCCAGTCCGATGCGCATGATGGTAAAAGTGTTACCCTTGTACTTCTCCGCCAGTTTTTCATCTTTGTCCAATTGAATGGATCCGACATAATACGAAATGCCGAAAATCAATGCTATTACCAGGTGTAGAAGTATGAAACCGGAATTTTTTTATACAAATAAGACGTCTGTTGTTCGAAAGTGATAAATAATACTTTATTCAAAATAATTTCCACTGTTTTGAACACATTTTTCCCACCTCTCTGGCAGTTTATGAATGCCGTGCCAAAAAAACTTTTCATCTTTT